AGCTCATCCATGGAAAACATCCATGGAAAACATCCGGGAAGCTCATCCATGGAAAACATCCATGGAACCAACCCATGGAGCTCATCTATGGAGCTCATCCATGGAAAACATCCAGGGAAAACATCCGGGAAGCTCATCCATGGAAATTATCCATGGAAAACATCCGGGAAGCTCATCCATGGAAAACATCCATGGAGCAGATCCACGGGGCAGATCCATGGAGAAGATCCATGGAAAAATCCATGGAGCTCATCCGTGGAGCTGATCCACGGAGCTGATCCATGGAGCTCATCCATGGAAACAATCCATGGAGCAGATCCACAGAGCAGATCCATGGAGCTCATCCACGGAGCAGATCCATGGAGCCGATCCATGGAAACAATCCATGGAGCAGATCCACAGAGCAGAACCATGGAGCTCATCCACGGAGCAGATCCATGGAACCAATCCATGGAGCTCATCCATGGAGTAGATCCATGGAGCCAATCCATGGAGCTCATCCATGGAGTGGATCCCATGAGCAGAGCCATGAAGCAGATCCAAGGAGCAGATCCACAGAGCTCATACAAGGAGCAGATCCATGGAGCTGATCCATGGAGCTCATCCATGGAAACAATCCATGGAGCAGATCCACAGAGCAGATCCATGGAGCTCATCCACAGAGCAGATCCATGGCGCTCATCCACGGAGCGGATCCCATGAGCAGAGCCATGAAGCAGATCCAAGGAGCAGATCCACAGAGCTCATACAAGGAGCAGATCCATGGAGCTGATCCATGGAGGAGATCCATGGGGCAGATCCATGGGGCAGATTCCCAAATCCCAATCCCCAAATCCCAAATCCCAAATCCCAAATCCCAAATCCCAAATCCCAAATCTCAATCCCCAAATCCCAAATCCCAAATCCCAAATCCCACTCCAAATTCCAATCCCAATCCCCACCTGCTTCAGCCAGACGTTCGTGGTCATCATCTGGTTCTTCTCATCCTGCGGTGGGGAGGAGGGATGAGCCGGAGGGAGATCCCGAGGGATTGTCCCAAAATTCCCGGGATCCCAAAATTTCCCAAATCCCAAAATTCCCGAGATCCCAAAACTTCCCAGATCCCAAAATTCCCTGGTTACCAAAATTTTGGTGGAAGAATCCTGGGAATTTGGGCAGAATCCCAGGAATTTGGGTGGAGTCCCAGGAATTTCAGCAGAATCCTGGGAATTTGGGTCACAGAATCCCGGGAATTTCAGTCAGAGAATCTGGGAATTCGGGCAGCAGAACCCTGGGAATTTCGGTGGCAGAATCCCAGGAATTTGGGTGGCAGCATCCCGGGAATGTGGGTAGCAGAATCTCGGGAATTTCATGCACAGAATACCAGGAATTTGGGTCTCGGAATCCCGGGAATTTGGGCCTCAGAATCCCGGGAATGTGGGCATTGGAATCCCAGGAATTTCAAGCACAGAATCCCGGGACTTTCAATCCCAGAATCCCGGGAATTTGGGTGGCAGAATCCCGGGAAATTTGGTCTCAGAATCCCGGGAATGTGGGTGGCAGAATCCCGGGACTTTCATGCACAGAATCCCGGGAATTTCGGTCTCAGAATCCCGGGAATTTGGGTGGCAGAATGCCGGGAATGTGGGTGGCAGAATCCCGGGAATTTCATGCACAGAATCCCGGGAATTTGGTTCTTGGAATCCCGGGAATCCTGGGAATATGGGTCTCGGAATCTCGGGAATCCCGAGAATGTGGGTCTCGGAATGCCAGGAATTTCAAGCACAGAATCCCGAGAATTTCAAGCACAGAATCCCGGGACTTTCAAGCCCAGAATGCCGGGAATTTGGTGGCAGAATCCTGGGAATTTTGATCTCAGAATCCCGGGAATGTGGGTGGCAGAATCCCGGGAATGTGGGTGGCAGAACCGAGGGAAATTTGGTCTCAGAATCCCGGGACTTTCAAGCCCGGAATCCCGAGAATGTGGGCGGCAGAATCCCGGAACTTTCATGCACAGAATCCCGGGAATGTGGGCAGCAGAATCCCGGGACTTTCGAGCCCAGAATCCCGGGAATGTGGGCAGCAGAATCCCAGGACTTTCGAGCCCAGAATCCCGGGAATGTGGGTCTCGGAATCCCGGGACTTTCAAGCCCAGAACCCCGGGAGTTTCATGCACAGAATCCCGGGAATGTGGGTCTCGGAATCCCAAGAATCCCGGGAATGTGGGTCTCGGAATGCCAGGAATTTCATGCACAGAATCC